GTGCCAGCACCGTAGACATAAATCGCCCCGTCACTCAAGATGGCTAATGGTGGATGTGATTGGCCGGGTTCACCAGGGCTTAAGAGGCGATGATTACACCTGATCGTCATCAAAACGGTGGAAGTGGACCATGATCGAGAAAAGACTTTTCCGTTATAACACGGTTAAAAAGTCATTCATTCGACTGGATCAAATAGGAGCAACTTGGAAAGCCTTCAACTTACAACCGACCTCGAGAAGTCCATCGGAAATCAAAACCTGTCCAGAGCCTTGCACTGAAACACCTTGTCGAGGGGCCGCAATAAAACTTTGTTGCTGGAAAAAGAAGCACTCAACCCCGGCAGAAGAGTGATTACAGATAACGAATTTCAAAGACCTACTTGATGCATAAGGCCTGGTGACATGAATCTTCATTTGGACGAAAAAGTTGGTTGGAAGGATTCGTGAAATCGTAGTACCAGAAATCCAACAGTACTTGTATTCGAATTTAATGGGAAATTTTACTATCAGTCTTTAATCGTGTAAAGCGACCTAAGCTAAATAAATCTTTTATACGAGACCAACTGATAATCTCGAAATCCTACTCAATTCAAATACAAGTGATGTTGTCGATGCTAATGACACATACACCCTTTGGGAATCAAGACTAAGTTAAATTCAATGGAAACGTTAGGTTTATTCATGTCATTGTGGGCAAATCAACCGTCATACCTTCATCACCTCAGGCCAACTGAGATAAGTAAATTTCTTTTGCTGGGACACTTTCAGTTCAAATGAGAATGCATGAAGAAGAGATTCGTCTTGTTGAAAATGACCTCCGAATCTCTTCATCATTCACTTTCATATGAACTGAAAGTCTCAGAAACACCAAATTGGGTTGTTTTCATATTTCGTTCAGGTTTTACGCAGTACAGGAGACCCCCCTCGTTTCGTGTGAAAACAGACTGAGCTTTCGTTCATTATATAATGGACATTATCAGAGCTGGAACTCATTCTTGTAAAAGTCTCAAGCTAACATTAGGCCAAAAAGACTGTCCGGCTCTATCCTACATCTTATATATACTATCAAAGTAAATACGAAAATATACAGAAATAGTAAGATGGATTCGTATTGACTTGCGACCTTCAAGAATGAGTCCCAGGTCTGATGATGTCCTTCATATAATGGACAAAAGCTCGGCTTCTTTTCGCCCGAAACGAGGGAGGATGTATCAACTTGAACGTCTTATTAAAGCCAAACGGCTGCAATACAACGCGAATCATCCGTCTCAAGTTTGCACCAGATCAAAAGACTATCCTGCCCTATCTCGCCTCTTATATATACTCATAGTTAAAAGCGAAAGTGAATAGACATAGATGGATATAGGATAGTTTTCGCTAATTGTCTTTCATACTGG